TACCGGCCAGTTCAAGGACACAAGGGAGGGCTCGTAAACCGGGCCTTGCCTCAGTTTCTTCCCAGTCCAGGCCTTGCCTTAGAATGGGAGGCAGCATCCTTACCAGCTTGTGTTACCTGCATGGCCCCGTCATTTCCCAGAGGCCACAAGAGTTAAGCCATGAAAAGACAGTCAGCCAGCGAGAGAAGACACGTGTGTCTTTAATGACGACTCTGAAACAAGGAGGGTCTGAGGTGTGAGACTTGGCCACCAAATTCTCCAGGACGTACAGTCCTGCCCCAGGGAGAAGGGACACAGGCTGACGGTAAGCACGGGGGACACGCTGGTGCCACCTGTTGCCTTGGGATTCCCCCAAAGCCAGATCAGTCACAAAGACTTGAGCACAGGAAGGTTCTTGAGGCCCAGGAGCATGAGAGAGAGTGGAGAAGGCCAGCCGGAGCGATGGCGGCCATGGGCCTCTGAGGATGACCCTGCGTCTTCACTCCGTGAACGCCCCAGGGCACCCCTCCTGCGGAAGGAAAGCTGGGAGGTCTATTCTAACTTCATCCCTGCTTAAACACAGGTTTGGATCCCAGAATCTCCCACCCCTCCTTTATCACAGGGTTCAGATCCCAGAATTTCTGGACACCTGAGCTTAGGCTGAGCAGGCCCCAGGACGCCGAGCGATCTGGGGGCAGAGCAGCAGTGAGGGCCTGCTGGGTGGCACTGGGAAGCTGTCAGTGAGGGGACACCCAGGTGCGGGGGACACCGAGGTGCAGGCAGCGGAGAGGCCGGTCCATCCCAGACATCAGCTGCAGCTGACCTTGTCACAGGCCCTCGGGTTCCGGAGCTTCTGCAGGACTCGCGCGTTCATCTCAGAGTCCCGCAGGAAATGTTTCTCGGTGGCTCAGGAAAATAAACCTCACAAACTGAAACGGGAAAACAGGGCTGTTTCCCTTCAGCTCCCTTTTAACTGGGACGTGCTCATACAGGATTTCTGCCTGGAGGACATTGTCCTGGAGCTCTCCCAGACCTGTGGGGAGCAGAGGCCGCCATGGTTGGGAGCGTCTGGAATGGTAACGCTTTCTTTCTCTTGTCCTTCCCGGAGCTGAGATCCTCAGCCTTGCCTCCCAGGAGCGGCACTGGGATTAACATGGAAACAGAGGGAACCCTACGAAAAGGAAGTCTTTTCAGCTTATGAGGTTCAAAATAGGACTTTAGAGGACTAGTGCTGTCTCTGAGACCAGGCAGGCCGTGAGAAAGGAGAGGCTACCAGGGCTGGGCTGGGCCTCTCAGGCCGTCCTTACTGTTCCTAATCGGCCGTCCACTGATGTCAGGAGAGTGGTCGGCCTTCCTCCTCACCCATGTCCCCTCCCCAGACCTGAGGAGACATGTTAGACAGGGCTGGGGTGTGGCCCCACATGTGTGGGGCCGTGGGGCGTGGCTGGAGAGCTACAGGTTTGGGTGTCTGAGCCTCACTCAGTCCCTCTGTAGGAAGGTCACGCTGGAACCCACATGGTGTGCTGAGCAGGGCTCCATGGGCACCAGCTGGAGGGAGACCGGGTGAGACTCAGAGCCTGGGCCATGTGGACAAAATGGTGCCCTGACCAGCAGACAGCCCGTGGCTTTAGAAGCCAGCAGAACATCCAGGAATGGGAGGAGGACAACCACACCCCAGGCTGTCCACCAGACCTGTCAGCCTCAGGAAGGATCTTCCCTCCACCACTAGGGGCTCCCTGAGCCTCAGGTGCCTGGGGGCTGCAGGCAGGGGCGCTGTGTGATATCCGGAGATAAGAGAAACAGAGGCCGTGACAGGAAAGAACAAGCTCTGCCCTAAACACTTCTTTGAAAGCTTAAGTCCGACTAAGATATAAAGCTAGAACAGACACATTTCAGCTTGGCCAGTTTTTTGCAGGTGAGTGCTCCGAATTGGTGAGAAAGCGGGGACGATTCCTCTATGACCCATCCCCAGAACCCTCATCTGGACGGAGGAGTTGGGGACAAATGGGCCGCAGGCCTGGCCGCGCTCCGGGATGGGTGTTTGCACGTCCGTGCTCCGGAGGGCATGCCTCATTGTGTCTGCTCAGACCGGCTAGGAGGTTTTGGTCACAGAGTGGCCCTGT